ACTGCATCATCAATACAATTCTTACTCGATAATGTGACTGATTGTCGGTTTAACTGATACGACAGATATGAGACGGCGTCAAGACTTATCTCCACAAAAAAAGAAAGAAAAAATCTGCCACGTTTCACAATTTTATGTGTACGTCATTCCCCCCTTCATCTCTTCACTCACTTACAGAAATGAAAAAAAAAAAAAAAAAAAAAAAAAAAAATGAGTACATGTAAAGAGCAGATCATCTTACCGGTTCGTGTCACTGATAACACTGGGGCAAAGAGGTTGATAAATGAGATAAAGGAGATACACACGCGAAGATGCCGCGGATCGATACGAATCTGGTGAAATCGTAAAAAGCCCAAACGAATGTAGTACAGCAACAAACACACACACACACAACACACACACACACACACACACACACACACACACACACACACACACACACACACACACACACACACACACATTCACAACGCACGTATTGTCACATGTACATACATACTGCCCACAAACGTACATATACACACATAAAAATAGCAATACACTCACGTTTTGAATTCTCGTTTATCTTCACGTCAACAACTATTACAAAACACAGACGCAATAGCTGGAAATGGAGCATTCTTGTAGACGGTAACAACAGCTACAAGAATAATAATGATAGTAATGGCAACAACAACTACAATAATAATAATAATAATAATAATAATAATAATAATAATAATAATAATAATAATAATAATAATAATAATAATAATAATAATAATAATAAATAATGATAATAATATAATAATGATAATAATAATAATAATAAAATCGCGCAACGATAAGAAGGATAATGATAATGATGATAACAACAATGCTAATGATATTAATGATAAAAGCAATAATGATCATATGATTCAGGATCTAGTTTTTTATTCCATTTGTTATGGTACAAAAGACTGTCTGCTTATATTTGCTTCTACATTGCCCCCTGCGTGCAAGGAATGGCCGGGGCTACCATCCACTGGCAGAGCGGAGTTTGAACGCGGGTCAGCCAAGTTGCTGGACGAGACCGCTACCGCTGCACCACACAACACCTTGTTGAAATAACCACGATAATAGTGATGATGTTGATGATAATGATAATAATGATTATAACTTTAAGGATAATGATGGTGATAATAATAACTATGATATTGATGATAATAGTAAAAATGATAATGACAATAGCAGTAGTAAAGATAACGATGATAGTTACGATGATGATGATGATGATGATAATGATGATGATGCTAATAGTAGTAAAGATAATGATAGTAAGGAAAATAATGATGGCAATGATAGCAAAGGCATTAATATGAATGATATAGTAATAATGATAATATAGATTATGACAATGATGATAATTATAGTAACGGTAAAAATAATGACAATGATAATAAGAAAAAAGATAATGATAAAAATGTTAACAATATTAATGATGATGATAATAATGAGAATAATGATTATGATGATGGTAATTATAACAATAACAACAACTACAAGAGTAATAATGATAGTAATAACAACAACAACAACAGTAATGAAAATAATAATAATAATATTAGTAATAATAGCGACAATGATGAGAAGAATAATGCTAATAGTAATAATAATGATAATGATAATAACAATAATGATTGTAATAATTGTAACAATGATGATAATAAAGATAATAATACTGATAATAATGATAATAGTTATATAATGATAATAACAACAACAACAACAACAACAAGAAAACAACACAATAATAATAACTATATAATAATACTAATACTAATACTAATACTAATAATGATAATAATAATGATAATATGACAATGACAATAAGTCTTAATATCAATAATTATATTACTTATTCTACAAATGATAATAATAACAACAGTAATAATGATGATGATAATCATCATCATCATGAGAATAATAATGATAATGATAATGATGATAATAATGATAATAATGATAATGATAATGACAATGATAATAATATAATGATAATAATGATATAATATATAATAATAATGATAATATATATAATAATAATAATAATGATAATAATATAATAATAATAAATAATATAATGATAATGATAATAATAATAATAATGATAATAATAATAACAATAACAGTAATAATAATAACAATAACAGTAATAATAATAACAATAACAGTAATAATAATAACAGTAATAATAACAATAATAATAGTAATAATGATTATAATGATAAGAATTGTAATAATAAATGGAATAATAATAATGATAAAAGTAATAATAATAGAAATAATTATGATAATAATGATAATATAATAGAAATAATTATGATAATAATGATAATAATAATAATAATATAATAAATAATAATATAAAATAATAATAATAATAATAAATAATAATAATAATAATAATATAATAATAATAATAATATAATAATATAATAATAATAATAATAATAATAATAATAATAATAATAATAAT